TAAACCCCCTAAAATCGTGGCCTATGATCCCAAAATCGTGACCTACAAATCCCCGAATTGGCCTAGAATTGAAAATAATGGCCTAGAAACCCTATGATCATGGCCTATGATTCCAAATTTAGCCTAGAATCCAATATAATGACCTAGAAACTCTAAAATCGTGGCCTAGAACCCCAAATTGATGGCCTAGGATCCCAAATCAACAACCTAGGCCACAGAATGGTGGCCTAGAACTCCAAATTTGGCCTAGAATCCAAAATTGATGGCCTAGAAACCCTAGAATCGTAGCCTAGAATTCAATATCCATGGCCTAGGACTCCAAATTTGGCCTAGGATCCAAAATTGATGACCTAGAAACCCTAGAATATCGTGGCCTAAGATCCCAAATCCCTAGAACCCCAAAAACTCACTCTTCTCCGGCGTTGGAAGCTTCAAAACTACTCTATGACGGGATTTTGGCTTTGGAGTGGCTGAAATTTCGAATTTCGGACTGAAATTTGGCTGAAAATGGCTCACTTGGCGCTGGAATTTCAGCCAAATGATCCCATGGGGTGTGCGGAACTTTCANAGCTGTCGAGAGCACTGAAAATAGATTTTTCAGAGATTTTTAATCGAAAAATGATCACCTTGATCTGGAATTTTTGGAACATTTGGAGCTTGAACAGCCCGAACCACCTCAAATGGAAGTTCAGATGAAATTTTCCGCATCGGGGAATCGCTGAAAATCGATTTTTTGAGTGAAAAATTATCAAAATTTGGCTAAAAATCACTGATTTTTAGCTGAAAATTCATCAAAAAATCTGGAATTTTTTTCAGAAAAATTCTGCTGAAAATCGGCGATTTTTATCTGAAAATTCATCAAAAATTGGCTGAAAATTGCCAATTTTTAGCTTAAAAAATCTGAAAATTTTCATAATAATTTGGCTGAAAATCACTGATTTTTAGCTGAAAAATCGTCAAAAAATGGCTGAAAATTCGACGATTTTTTGGCTGAAAAATGCCCGAATTTATCCCGTACTTTTTAAAAATCCCGTACTTTCTGGAGTGTCCAAATCCAAATTTTCCACAATTTTCGCATTATTTTCCAGCGGCTTTCCCTCTAAAATTGCAGCTGAAACTGTCGATTTTTGAGCATCTGGAGGCATTGGAATCGCTGAAAAAATAGAAAAAATTCTAGAATTTTTCGACGAAAAATTGGCTGAAAACGGTCAGTTTTTCCCTAAAAAACGCTGAAAATCCCCACTTTTCTCCAATTTTCCCTCTGAAATCGCTTCTGGGACATCATCCACCTCTTCGGCTTCCAGATTCGGGTCCGCTGCTGATGGCACCAAGTAGCGGACTTGGCGAGGATCGTGATCGTCTGAAATTAAGGAAAATCATGAAAAATGACCCAAAAATCATGAAAAATGACCCAAAAATCATGAAAAATGACCCAAAAATCATGAAAAATGACCCAAAAATCATGAAAAATGACCCAAAAATCATGAAAAATGACCCAAAAATCATGAAAAATGACTCAAAAATCATGAAAAATGACTCAAAAATTATGAAAAATAACCCTAAAATTATGAAAAATAACCCAAAAATCATGAAAAATGACTCAAAAATCATGAAAAATGACTCAAAAATCATGAAAAATGACCCAAAAATCATGAAAAATGACCCAAAAATCATGAAAAATGACTCAAAAATCATGAAAAATGACTCAAAAATCATGAAAAATGACTCAAAAATCATGAAAAATGACCCAAAAATCATGAAAAATGACTCAAAAATCATGAAAAATGACTCAAAAATTATGAAAAATAACCCTAAAATTATGAAAAATAACCCAAAAATCATGAAAAATGACTCAAAAATCATGAAAAATGACTCAAAAATCATGAAAAATGACCCAAAAATCATGAAAAATGACCCAAAAATCATGAAAAATGACTCAAAAATCATGAAAAATGACTCAAAAATCATGAAAAATGACTCAAAAATCATGAAAAATGACCCAAAAATCATGAAAAATGACCCAAAAATCATGAAAAATGACTCAAAAATCATGAAAATTGACTCAAAAATCATGAAAATTGACTCAAAAATCGTTAGTTTTCCGTATTTTTTGGTAATTTTGAGTTAAAATTTTCAGCCAAAAAATCCCGTACTTTCCAGCTCCTGCATAGCCAAATCTGGCACTTTTCCGCGTCCTCCCAACACCGATTTCACTGAAAAAATTCAAAAAAATTCTCGAAAAAATCTGAAAATCCGCCTACAAAGACTATTCGAATCAGCCGGTTTTCCGCGTCGTTTCGCCGTTTTTTGAGCTGAAAATTTTGAATTTTTCCATTTTTTTTTTGGCGCCAAATTTGAATTGTTAGCGTTACCAGGCGATTCAGAAGACGATTCAGAAGTCTTCGATCCACGTATAGCCGGCGTTTTTTCTGAAAAAATCGATTTTCGCAGCTGAAAATTCTGGAATTTTCGAGCTATACGCTGCTTAGAGTCCGTTGGAGCTTCTGGTGCCTTGCCACGTGGATTTGGAGTCTCTGGAGCTGATTTTCCTGAAATTTTCAACGGAAAATATGATTTTCAAACGATTTTAAACCTGAAAATGAGCTTTATAAAACCAATTTTTAATCAGAAAATCGGCAATTTTCCAGTTCAAAATTCAGCATTTTTTCTAGCTGAAAATCTGGAAATTTCCTTTTTTTCCATTCAAAATTGCCCAAATTTTCCCGAAAAATCGACAATTTTTTACTCAAAATTCGGCGTTTTTGGGGTAATTTGTGCTGAAAATATCGATTTTTAAGCCAAATTATCGATTTTCTAGCTTTAAAAATCAAGCAAAAAAAATTTTTGTTTTGGAATTTTTTCCCATGAAATCGACAATTTACCAGCTCCAAATTTGCCTTTTCAGAGTAATTTGAGCTGAAAATATTGATTTTTAGGCCAAATTATCGATTTTCTCGCTGAAAATCTGGAAATTTCCTTTTTTTTTCATCGAAATTTGTCAATTTTGCCCAAAAAAAACTGGAATTTTCCTACGATTTTTAGAGATATTCAAGTCAAAAATTGCTAAATTTTTAGGCAAAAATTCTAAAAAAATTGGCTTGAAAATTCGATTTTTTCTGAAATTTCTCGCTCAAAATTTGCCTTTTCAGGGTAATTTGAGCTGAAAATATTGATTTTTAGGCCAAATTTTCGATTTTTCCAGTTTTTATCCGTCAAAATTGCCCAAATTTTTCCCAAAAAAATCGGCAATTTTCTGACTCAAAATCTGGCTTTTTTGGGGTAGTTTGAGCTGAAAATATCGATTTTTAAAGGTGGGGGGACAGGAGATTTTACGGGGGATTTTTGGGGCCAGAGTATGCATTCTACCGTGACGGTGTACAACGCTTAACGCCACTCTGCGTACAGATGTCGTCCTCGCCTTTATGTATCCAATCGGGCGACCGCTTTCTCTTTGCCCGTGTAGCTCAGTCGGTAGCGGCGCCGCACCCTCAATCCTCGCCCCACACGTTCAACTCCTCGAGGGGCATATTTGAACGAAATTTCGAGAACATTATTTTTTTTTCATGTCCCCCCACCTTTAAGCTAAATTATCGATTTTACAGTAAAAATCCCCGGCAGTCCCATCTCTTTTGGAAAATTTTCAGCCAAAAACCAAAAAAAAAAACGTAAAATTCGCAAAAAAAGAAACAAGAATTAATGTACTTTTCGTCGATGATTCAGCTTCCGCAATCGGTGAGTCGTCTGGAAACACTTGCATCGTTTTACGGACGGTTCGAACCGGATTTCTGGCTTAAAATAGATTTTTAGAGGAAAT